AGCAAATGTGTTGGTGTCTTGCAGTGTAGACTGTCTCCTGGAGGAGAGAAGTAAGCAGGAAGGAAGCTGGTGGGGATTCAATTTCATTTCCCCAGGGTTATTTATCTTCAAGAGAGCAAGCACACAGAAAACAGATGCAGACAGAAGGTTAAATTCTGTTCTCAATTATGAAAAAGAAAATGCACAGCAATCCTGCTGATAACAGGGTTGTGCTAGAGCAAAAGGAACATTGCTGGAGACCAACTTGGCACAGGAAAGTAAACAAGAGAATTCTGAAGAGGAAAACCTGCTTCTCACCTGGTCCTCTAATCTTTTTCTCTTCCAGCCCGGGCTGGAAGAGCCTAAATTCTGCTCTGGCTTGCTGTGTAAAGTACATGCAGCAGGAGTCCAAGCTGACTAGAGCCCAGAAGCAGAACTGCTCCCCCTTCGTCTAAGCAGCCACACCAAACCATGGCTCAGTTTTATTGGAACACAGATTAATAAATCAGAGAAAACTTCAGTCTCCTAGGAAAAATATTGTGAGGAAAAAAAGGCTTTGAAAGAAATCTACCTCTGCCCACAGTGCCCTTGCTGTGCCTTCTCCTCCAGTTTCGCATTTCAGTTCTGTGACATGAAGCTGCTTCTGTTGCTGAACAAGCTTCTCACCTTCCTCCCCAGTGCCACTGCTGTGGCAGTTCAATCCTGAGCTTATTTTCCATGGTCAGGGAGCACCCTGTCCCCTGGAAGAAGCTTCCCAGTGCATTCTCCTCCAGCAGTTCTCCATTTGCTCCAGGACACAAGCTGGTATCAATGGTTTGCATTCATGCTCTTGTATCTGAGAGCAGAATCTGGACCATTAAGACCTTGAAGATGAAGCTCTTAGGAGCAGCTGCCTCTGACCGTTTCCTTTTCTCGTTTCTACTCTTGCATGTTTTTCACACCAGACATTGCAGAGCCACCTATGATGGCATCTGTCAGTGCTGAGCCCTGGGGAATGCTTCAGCAGTCTGTCTCCTTGCCCACCACAGGGTCACACAGGAGGCCATCGAGGGCCCCTGCTGGCACACCATAGACACAGGATCTAATCCATGGGTGAAAGCAGCCACCACCTGCTGCTTCTCTCCAGCACTTCCCACCAGTCCTGCTCCCAGTCTGGGGGCTCGCTCACACTTCAGGATGCTCTTTGCTGTTTTTCTTTTCAAAGAGTGCTGGTTTTCTCTGCTCAGTGAGGCGACAGAGAGGCTGGGCTGCCTTTGAAGCCCTCAGAGCTGCTCCTGTAGATGGACATAGTAGCTCCATGGGGGCACAGCACCATGTGCTCCAGCCTCCTACCCACACACATCTCTGCCATATTTTGTCCAGGCATCCCCATTTTGTGCTTTTCATCACATCCCTCACAGACAGTCTAAGTTACCTCAATGTCAAGACAGACTTCTCAAAATACAACTTCTACCCCTGCCCCTTTCTGTCTTTGAAGAATTATCTTGGGGACCAATCAACTGAATTCATTTTTAAAAGCTTTTCCAGCATTTTTTAAATAAAATTATTGCCAATAAAGGTATCAGTACTTTCCTCAGTACCTTGCCATGCATATCACGACTAAGACTTGTCTTCAAGTTGTGATGCCTAAACTAGGACACAAGCAAGTTTTAAAGACTCTTAAAAACAAACAAACAAACAAACAAAAACCAAACAACTAGAAAAAGGGTCAGAAACTTCCTTTCTTCATAGTGGCTCAATCCTAACACTTCTGTAGGTCCAAGAGACCTCTCTTTTTGACTTGGAATATCTGGAATTGGCCTGTGTGGTTTGCAGCCTCAGGTTATAGCTCAAACTGCCCTCGCTTGGACAGCTAATCTGGCTCCCAGGCTCACCCAGCAAGCTCAGTTTTTGGATCCTCCCCAACACTGGCACCAGTTTCTCCTCAGACACCCAGTTCTCAGCTTTGGATCCCACTTTGGGGAAGAGAAACTTAAAACTTAGGCATCTAAACTTAAGGGGCACGAGATTTTTGGATCTGTCTTTGATCATTATAAATGTTCATATCCTCCCTCGAGTATTTTATGACTTTTTTTTAGTCACAGCTAGTTACACTGACTCTTCCTTATTTCTACTGCCTTTTATCTTTCCAATAATTCACTAATGGATTTCCTTTTTTATTCATTATATGCAAAGCCCACTTCTTATTCCCCATGACTGCTTTGAACAACATTGCTTCATTTTTAGCTTTCTTATGTCCTCTCCCCTTGTCAGCAAACACTGTTTTTGCTGCTAAGATTCCTTCACAGTTTTTCTTTCCTCAATCAGATGCAGAGACAGAGGGTTTGACACAAACACACCAGTTTCTACGTCCCCTCTGTGATGAGGTATGAGCCAGAATGTGTATTTTCTTCTTTCCCACAGAAACTATGCTGACCTACATCAAATATAAAGTAGATCCAGTTTTCCACTACATCTTCCGTAGATACTCACCTCAAATTGGAATAACAACACTGGCTTCATTTTTTGCCAGGTGGGAAGTGAATGTCTATTTTTGACAGTAATGCCTAAAACCTTCAAGGGCTCCCTATCTTTCTTCCAAATCTTCATAAATCCACAGGAGAGCATTGAGCAGGGCATGGAGGAAATATCTTATCAGGTTTGGAGCCTCTGGGAACATCACATCAATTCCAGCTGCACAGTCCATCAGAGTTAATTTATATATTGACAGATCTGAGCCCTTTGATAAATCATTTGGTGGCCTCTGTTTCATTCCTTCTGAATACATCTCCAGTCCCATGGGCACTATTAATTATTACTTCAGCAAAGAGGTCCTCATTCAGCAAAACTCAAACCCAAATGTAATTTTCAGTGTGAGGATTCTGCCACTGACATCCATGGCAAAAGCTCCTTTCCTGCCTGTTGTACCAGACTGGGACTTGCCAAACTCTTGCCCTTCATCCACCCTAGCAGGATTGTGGTCTGAACTCCAGGATCCTGAGACAGACCCCAGTATCACTGTTGATTCTGTCATCTTCTCAAAAGAGCAAAAAGAGAGAAACAGCACAAGTGGAGACAAAGGGAGGTTCATTGCTTCATGCTCATTTGGGAACTAATTCAATTGCGTGGATGCTCCTTGCCCACTAAGTATGAAACAGCAGCACATAAGCACTATTTCTTCATTTTAATGACCTTTCCCCTTTGTGTTCTCTTCCCCAGTTGCAATAGGAACATGTGCTGGAAAATAGCTAAGTGTATACAGAATTTCAAACTCCATGGAGATCAGTAAGCTGCCGTTTTACACATTTTAAAGCCAAAAGCTCACTTGCCTCAGGTGCCATTGTGAACCTGAACCTGTGACTACAACAGGCAGGACTCAATCCTGTTACATGAAGAAAGCCATGAACAGCTGTAACTGCTTTTAAAGCAGTCTCAACCACAGCTCTTCTGCTTCTGGTTCATTCAAAGCAAGCCCTTTCTCCTTCACACTCCTTCAAACCCACTACTTTGTACTTTCTTTCCTCCTGGAAGCTAAAGAGTGAATGAAAATCTTGCCATTTGGGATGGCATTAAAAAAAATAATGGCAAATAAAGACATTTTAATTGCATGGGATTTCTGAATAAGATTTCAAAGTGGGCAAAAAAAAAAATAGCTGTGTGCCTGGTACACAGAGAGCCCTTTCTCTTCCCCTTTGTGGCGGAGGAATCAATGGAATTCAAATAAAAGAAGGAGGGGGGTGGGAAGAGAGATAGGAGATGCCTTGCTCAGTACCAGCAGGGTCACAAGTCTCATGAGGCTCAAGCAGGGCATGCAAGGAAGTTGCTGACTGTATCTCCATGTGTACCTTTTTGTTCCTTGCCTTGGATTTGCTGGTCAGTGGCATGCTGCTTTGCCTGGCTCTCCATAGAGCTTGTAGCCTACAGGAATTTGGACAGAGTGGTACAGACATCGCCGACAGAGACTCTGATCACTGACTATCCCTTTAAATGCAGTCTCATGACTTAAGTCTTTACTCCACTACTTATTAAAGAAGGAGACAAGACGTACATAGACAGCTTCCATTCAGGCACCCAGAAGGACACAGAAAGGCAAGACCATTTAACAGAGCTAACTGTGAGTAAATACAAGGCATTAGAGGTGTTCTCTAGAGCAAAGGGCATGGAGAAAGATTTGTGGGAAATCCTGAAGTGAAAGAAGGTGCAGTATTTTCAAAAATATACTTGCATACTATGTACAAAAGGCAAAATTTGGTAAAGAAAGCTGTTCTGTCATTTTTCCCATTATTCATTTCAATATGAATGTTGAAGTGTCTCTTAATATGACATCGACCAATGCTTGATTTCCTATAAAAATCCGAAACACTGATTTTGTGATGCAAGTACTGGAGACTTTTGCAAATACAACCTTTTTTCACTGGGATAAATTTCATAAAAGGAATATCTGGGAGGGGAAATTTGAAGCTAGCCTTTTGCAGACTTGGATCTCAAGCCCAGCCTGACACCTCCAGTTAGACAGCTGCACCTTGCGAGGGGTGGCTTTCTTTCTGGGAGTGCTGGATCTGGCCCCTTTCTGCTGGGGACAGAAAAGAGCTGTGGATGCTCAGCAGAATGGAGACAGCACAAAAGTGTCCCATCATGCTTGCAGACAGCTAACTTTTAACCAAGGGGCTTTGTGTCTCCATGCGTCTCCATGGCCAACAACCTACATGGTACAGCATTATGGAAAACTGGGTTCTTTTTAGTCATCAGAGTCACCAGCATGTCCCTACATATATATATTTATATATATTTATTACAATAGCTATTGGGTAGACCTGGGCAAATATTTCAACAGTGATCATTACTATTTCAAGAGGTACCTTAACACTGATGGCAAGAGAAAGCTCCTCTGTCAGCTCAGCCTATTGCTTTCCTAAATACATCTGTATTATTAATTGCAGGCATGATTAGCTGGTGGAGAGTGTTCTCAGCTTGCCTTCATGTTGCCCGTTTTCTTCTCCGCATTTATCCTGTCTGCTTGGTGCTTAACCAAAGGAAACAGCATGTCCTATGATGAGCTGAAAGAGCTGAAGACCCACTTTGCCATCAACCTCTATCGGCACGTATCTGAAGCAGAGAACAGAACCAACCTGGTACTCTCACCAGCAAGTGTGGCTGTTTCTTTGGAGATTCTGCAGTTTGGAGCTCAAGGAAATACCTTTACAGAGCTACAGGATGCCCTAGGATACAACGTTCATGGTAATGTACTGTTTAAAAAAAATACTTCTTGTCTTATATTCTGCGATGAATTCACAGCTTTACTAAGGAGACAGGAATTGTGCACATCATACTAAGCTTCTGTCTTCTGTCTCACTGCCAGATGTAGCTGAGGAGTCTTTTCTTCATCTTTGATTGGTATCAACCAGACAAAGGAAACTCAAGGGAGTAGTTGATATGCATGTTAATATTCCTGTTTTTTCTTGATCACTGCTTACACTTTTTACTGCACCAAAATACAACTGCATCTAGAAGAGCCATTTCCATGAACAGCAGAATTGCTCCTGGTTTCCCAAGGATTCATCGTGCCTGCTGTGTCCTGGCTTCCCTTGTGTCCTTTCTGGGGCAGAAGACAGTAGTTTTCTCTCCTATCCCACTTACATTTCCTCTTCTATTCCATTAACAAATTTTATGAAACCTGTAGAAATTGGATTATCTTTGAGTCTTTGCACCTTTTTCTAATGTTATTACAATGGGCCAAAAAAGATGAAAAGCTGTAGGAGACTGGTGAAGATGTACACTGACAGATGGATGGTGCAATTGCATCTTTCCCTGAAAGCAAGCTAAAATAAAACTCACTGGGAATCTGGAAGGGATATGGAAAAGGCAGATGTCTGAAAACCCAGCATTAAGTCAGCTGAATTTAAGGATACTGTTTTCATTTTAGCTCTGGATTATCCTACCATCTCGCATCACACATCACAAACCATTTCACACTATGGGCACAATGCTTATGGAAAGCAGATGACTGCCTCATCTTCAACATTTGCAGTTTACATACAAGATTTATGTATAGAGATGACACTGCTCTTTCTCAGCATAAAATTAACTCCCAGTGTAAGAAAACTAAATATAAAACCTAAAGCCATTTCACTGGCCTGTGCTGTAACTTGTCTTAGTCACTCTTATCACTCCAAAGAGCCCTGAGAGTCAAAGCCAGCACAGCAGTAAGAGTGAACTCTGGCTGATATACACAGGTACTGCATGTCCCGACACAAGGACAGCACATCTATATTATGAGCAGTCCTGCCTATAAGACTCCTGCTTCTGTAAACTCAATTGGGTAATTTTAAACAACAGTACTTCTTACAAGGATTACACCTTCCTTGACTCTTCTGGTCATTGGGGGCTCAGTTATTAAAAAAGAACCGTAAGAATAATATCACACCATGAAATATGGGTGCAGATCTCTGCACAAAATACAACAAAGAGAAGTGCACAGGCTGTTAATGACCTGCTGAGCTCTTTTGGGCTGCCTCACTTCTCATGTGGCACATCGTATCATGCAGCCTTTTTATCTCCATTTTAGTTGTCTGTGGCACAAGCCACATGAGCTTTGGCTTTCAGTAGCATTAATGCATGAATGTGAATGTGTTCTATTGCTGTTGGTTATAGCAGCACATTTCCTGTGATGGAAGAGGAAGCCACTTCCTCAAATGATTTAAACCAAATAAATAAATCAAATACTTAGATCAAATTTCCTGTGAGATTAGTAAAACCAAATCATGTATACATGCACATCTGGTGAAATTACTTCTTGCATTTTGCATTAATGTTTGGTCTATCTTAAACAATAATGAAGGATGTGGTTAAAACCTTAGCAGGCTGAAAACAATGAAAACATTGATGTTTCATTCACTATTCACACTGAATCGGCTCTTACATGCACTTGTAATCTTCTTTCAATGTTTGGAAAGGTTTGTTCACCTTTATTCTAGTACTAAGAAAAACAATGTATAAAGGGATGTCTCTCTAGATAGCACAGATACAATGACACCTTTTAAGATGCTTCTCCTTGCTATTTTATTTTATCTATGGCAGAGTAGATTTAAAACTATTTTGGACTGTTTTCTGAGTAAAAATTCAAGACTTTGGTTAGCTAATAAGCACTTTGAGATCGACTGAAGTTACAAGCTCAGAATACCACACCTCCTCTTAACATCTGCTTCCAATTTACTGTCTTTGACTTCTCACATCCTCCAGAGGGCTTGCCAAAAGCTCCCGCACTAATGCAAAACACACGAGAAAAGTACTTTGCACCTCAGACCGTGTGAGTTTTCATCACATCTGTTCAAGGACTTCAATATTTTATCCCTTAAAGGGTAATAGATCTAAACCCTAATACCAAAATTCCCATAGGTAATTAGTCTTCCTACAGGTTATTAAAAGAGCTCTATTAGGTCAGAAAGCACTTGCTGGATCCTCAGGTGGTACAAATCGCTAGACATGTAACTCTCCCTTTACACCATCAAGAATCAGAACCAATGTAGTAGAAGTCTCCTGATAACCTGGCTGGAAGATGGAGGTTCACAGAGATCCTGCCCTCAACCTGGCATTCAGCCTGGGACAGGTCAATCCAGGAGGGAGGGACTTCCTCAGACTGGTTAGTCACCTCAAACTGCCCATGTCCCAAGTAGCAGTCCAGCCTGACTTCCCTTCTGCACTGCCTACACCCACAGGCATCTGGAGAAACTGGGTGATTACTCCCTTTGCCTTTGACTCCCTTGAGTCAAAATTAAGATTTCCAGCCAGCCCATAATGGCAAGCCCAGCCATGACCATGGCAGGGTCAGATATCTGTGAGCTGTCCAGGGCACCCCAGGGTTTCAAGCCAAGACAGGGGAGCACATGAGCCAAATACAGCAGCCCTCAGAAGCAAGAGGCACAATACTGAGCCACCTTGGAGAGAGTGGCCAGTAATTCATACACAACAGTGAGCTGCTGAGATTTCACACAGAAACTGGGACACTTGGTGAGGAAATCAGAAAGGCCCTGGAGGTCCTGCAGAACCAAGAGGCACTGATGTCTTGCTGAAGAAGAGCAGTGCTCTGGACATTTTCCGGTCCTAGTGGAAAACTTATTAATCGAAGGAGAAACCTGTTCAAAATGTTTAGAAGCCAAGTGACCATCTCATCAAGACTTTTATTTGCTGGGCATAGGCAAGTCCCCTCCAAAGCACAACAAGGGATATGGAAAATGGGCTAAGCCATGAACATGGAAAGTTTGAGGAGGTTTGACACAGAGTCCATGAATATAGTTCAGACTGGGTGCAAGTCCCAGGCCTTAGGTGGTCACCTCAGTATGAACCATCCCATCCCAAACCATTAAAACAAACAAAATAATGACAGCCAGAAACGGCTGCTAAATCATCCTTTAGGGAAGCCTACTATAAACTTTGTGATTTTAAAAACACAAGATCCTCTAAATTTGCAGGACTGATGTTCCTCTTCATCTCACACATCAATCTTCTACCTGTCACAGAAGCCAACACCATTGAACTACCATGAGCAGGAACAAGACTGGGGCACTATTCAGATATTTTCATCAGTGGAAAAAAATTGAAAATCCATTACTGAATTTTTTAATAACACTGACCTTGTAATTGCTACAAGCATTTTTGAAGACCAGAACAGAATTTAAAAGGATCCTGGGAAATCAGAGAAATATGTGAAGTGATTAGACACAATTCAGCAAGGACAACTACAAAATTCTGCATTTAGAAGAAATAATTCAAACTGGGAAAAACAAGTCAAAGAACACTGTTTTTAGGAAAGGATCTGAGGGTTTTTAGGAATTAAAAAGATGAATGTTGAATGGGAAATATAATGGTACTTCAGAAAAAGCAGACATTGTTGTGGGTTGCATAAAGTGAAGAGCCACTTGTAACACTCATGAAGCAACCTACCAGTCAGCTCTGTTTAGCCTTGTCAAGGCTCATCTGCAATACTGGGCCAGTTTGGGGCACCACCCTTCAAGAAACAAAACAACACATGAGGACAGAGGGTAGAAGAGGTGGACAGTCAGGGAGATGCCTTTCCTGGGGCTGGTAGCCCTGATAATAGGAGACAGCAGTAATGCGGCATTGGCAGCTCAACCAGTCATAGCCAGAGGACTAAGTCTTACCAATGGGAACCCAGGGAGTTCCCTCCCAAAAATTAATGTTCCTTATGAACCTCTCTCTTGCCTGGCAGATCAGAGTGTGCAGGATTTCTTGCAAGCAGCGTACGAAGGAGAGACTGATTCCAGCCAGGGCACGGTGGTCCAGCTGACATGTTCCCTCTTCGTGGACGCCAGCGTGGAGCTCTCACCCAGTTTCACTGCCCGTGCTGCACGCTGGGCAAACAGCAGCCTGCAGCAAACCAACTTCACTGACCCAAACAGAACCGCTGCCCAAATACAGGGCTGGATCACTGGTCAGCTCGGAGGTAACATAACAGCCCATGAGAATGATTGCACCTGAACAAAATGTCAAATAACTGTATTGAGAGAAATTGCATTTAACCAAGTATGAAAGTTTTTGCCACACTCTGTGTTGTCCAAACCAAGGCTGAGAGCCAGGAAACCTAATCCTTGTGCTGATGCTCATTTCCAATGCGAGGAAAAGTAGAAAAGTTGATCAGGTATGGGTTTGGTGATCAGGAAGTGAGGTGGATTAGGAACTGGTTGAAAGGAAGGAGTCAGAGAGTTGTAGTCAATGGGGCAGAATCTGGTTGGAGGTGTGTGACTAGTGGAGTCCCACAGGGGTCGGTACTGGGACCGGTGTTGTTCAACATCTTCATCAACGACCTGGATGAGGGTATAGAATGTACCCTCAGCAAGTTTGCTGATGACACTAAGCTGGGAGGAGTGGCTGACACACCAGAAGGCTGTGCTGCCATTCAGAGAGACTTAGATAGGTTGGAGAATTGGGCGGGGAGAAACATGATGAAATTCAACAAGGGGAAGTGCAGAGTTTTACATTTGGGGAAGAACAACACCATGTCCCAGTACAGGTTGGGGGCTGAACTGCTGGAGAGTAGTGTAGGTGAAAGAGACCTGGGGGTCCTGGTAGACAGGAGGATGACCATGAGCCAGCAATGTGCCCTTGTGGCCAAGAAGGCCAATGGCATCCTGGGGTGCATTAGAAAGGGTGTGATTAGTAGGTCAAGAGAGGTTCTCCTCCCCCTCTATTCTGCATTGGTGAGGCCACATCTGGAGTATTGTGTCCAGTTCTGGGCCCCTCAGTTCAAGAAGGACAGGGAACTGCTCGAGAGAGTCCAGCGCAGAGCTACGAAGATGATTAAGGGAGTGGAACATCTCCCTTATGAGGAAAGGCTGAGGGAGCTGGGTCTCTTTAGCTTGGAGAAAAGGAGACTGAGGGGTGACCTCATCAATGTTTACAAATATGTAAGGGGTGAGTGTCAGGGGGACGGAGTTAGGCTTTTCTCGGTGATGACTAGTGATAGGACAAGGGGTAATGGGTGTAAATTGGAGCATAGGAAGTTCAAGGTGAATATCCGAAAAAATTTTTTTACTGTGAGAGTGACAGAGCACTGGAACAGACTGCCCAGGGAGGTTGTGGAGTCTCCCTCACTGGAGACATTCAAAACCCACCTGGATGAGTTCCTGTGTGATGTACTCTAGGTGACCCTGCTCTGGCAGGGGGGTTGGACTAGATGATCTCTCGAGGTCCCTTCCAGCCCCTAAGATTCTATGATTCTATGATTCTATGAAAGAGCTGGAATAGGTCTGAATCTCTGAGTGTAAGTTCGCAGTATTAAGCTGGTAACTGATTGGCCTTGTTCCTCTAATTTTTAAAATGACAATCCTTTGCAGTGTTTCCAGTTTTAATGAGGAGCAGCCAAATTCCCGAGGGACCAAGTTCACTGTATTGGGTACTTTCATGCTGCTGTAGGGAATATGTGGGGCCATAAGCTCAGCTGTCAGACTTAAGAGTTCAAAAAGCCAAAATGGAAAATAAAAATAATTTACTTTCCACACAAGCAAGAAAAGAAATGAAATAAAAGTCTGTGTTAATGAAAAAAAAACATATTGGAAAAACAAGTCCTCAGGAGCAGCAGAGAAAATTAATCCCTGATTTGCCTCATCAATTTAAGTTATGTGAGTAACTTCAATTTGGCAGCCAACATGTGAGGTGATGTCAAACACACACATTAAAGCTACTATTGAAAAACAAATTTTCGTCCTTCTCAAACGACCTGTTATAAGTGATCCAGCTTCATGATATGAAAGTATTGCTCTAGAATCAGGTACTGAAATGGAAGTTCAGATTGTGGTACCCAGATATGCATCAATGAATTAGAAGTGGATCATGCTTTCAAAAATCTCTTAGATACTCAAAGCAGGATCAGCTGAATGGCCAAGTAAATAGGAGAAGGGAAGAATTAGGAGATGAGCTACAGTTGCCCTATTTACTTCATAAAGCAATCTGCAATTATTCATGCATTTCATGAGGGATTTCTGGTGCTAACAATGAACCACTCCAAGATACATGTGGGCACATTTAAGCTAGAAAAAGGGTTAGGGCCAGGGTATGGTGCTGAGCATGAGGTTGCTGTCGTCCGTGCTGTTCAGGGAGTAGCACAGTCCTGGCACAGCTTTGGCCCTCAACATCGGCCAACTCAAGGTTGGTTCTGGGGAGAACACAAACTAACAGGCAACCTGGATGAGGCCTAGGTAGTGGTGGGGAGGGGAAGGTGGAGGGTCTAACAGTGCCTTGTGAGTTGTGTCTCTTGACCTTATGAGCAGAGAGCCAGCCCAGCTTGCTTTAGTTACTCACATAGTCCTGGCCTTTAGGCCCACGCAAGTCAAACCAGCATGTGTCCCTCTCCCCACCTCTTTTTGCAGAATCATGTAATCATTGAATGGTTTGAGTTGGAAGGGACCTTAAAGACCATCCAGTTCCAACTCCCCTACATGGACAGAGACACCTTTCACTAGATCAGGTTGCTCAGGGCTCCATCCAACCTGGCCTTGAACACTTCCAGGGATAGGGCTTCCACAACTTCCCTGGGCAACCTGTGCCAGTGTCTCACCACCCTCATGCTAAAGAATTTCTTCCTAAAGTTTATCCTAAATCTCCCCTGTTCCAGATTTAATCTATTACCCCTTGTCCTCTCACTGCAAGCCCTTGGAGGAAAGCTGCAGCTCAGTGGTGGGCCCAAGGACCACATCAGTATCCTCCTGACCAGGGCACCCTCCTGTCCCTGTTTGGTGGAGCCCTCTCAGCCCACACTCACACTTTTCTTGCAGATGGGGATGTGCATGACATGCCGTTGGAGAGCGCTGTGTCACCGCTCAGCCAGGTCGCCCTGGTGAGCACAATGTACTTCAAAAGCATGTGGCAAAAGAAGCTTTCCTTTATGGATACCCAGATGTTGCCTTTTACCACGGCAGAAGGCTCAACCCTGAAAGTGCCCACAATGCATCACACAGCCGAAGTTAACTACGGTAACTGTCCTTGGTCCAGATTTGCTTTATCGTACAATGTAGAACAGTTTTATGTATTTCAGTTGCACAGCTACCACACTAAGAGATGTTACTTACCCAGCTTGGAGAAGCCTCAGAAGACATCCCATCAAATGAAGACACCACCTGGGTGACCAAATTGGCTCCTTAAGTTCCCAGAAAATCATGAAAGAGTTCCTGGGTTAAAAATGCTTCACAAAGTATCTACTAACTGTGCCCCATCCCTTATATACCAACACCTCCCAGCACTCCATAAGCAACTTGTCAGCTGCAGCAAACAATCAAAAGGAACTAAGATAGCATGCTAGGAGAAGGGAACAGGAGAGACTGAAGGTACCACAGTCTACAGTGTCCTTTGCAATAGCATGAAATCTGTTAAATAAAGTTGTCAAGGAAGGGGGGACCATAGGAAGTGCATCTGAACCTGTGGCAGAGGGCAGTTAAGATGATAATTGTATCAAGCACCTACCAGCTTGATTTGTGAGGTGGGTAAGAAATTTCCTGGGCCCTCAGCCTAATCATTGTTTGTCCCTTGAGTGTCTGAGCACCAGCACTGTCCACCCATCCCTCCTCTCTCTGGTCACACAGCCTGTCTTGCAAGGATGTAGGGTAAAACTGCAAATACTCAGGGCCAAATTCTGCAACAAAGGGGAGAGAAATTCTTCTGTCCCTTATATCTAGACAGTGGATGATCTCTGCCTGGGCTTAAACAGGATAAATATAGGTCAAATGTTTATTTGTGTAATATATGAATACAGCGTCTGCACCTTTCAAAGGTTTGGATTCTGTGGGTCACCAACAGAAGGACTCATGCTGTAGGCTTAATTTTCTACCACCAGGAATTCTGCCATTTAGCTCTGCAATCTCTTTCAAAATATAAAAAGCTTTTTTTCCCTTCAACCCTAAATTTCAGAACTGCACTTGAGTAAAAACATTCCTAATTTAAAGTCTAAATTTTTTTCAAGTCCAATTTCTATCTCTTCATATTTTGTCAGCTTTATCTTTTAAGTTAAATAGTTTCTTTTCATCTTTGATATTTACTCCCAAATGTATTTGTGAGTCACCAAGTTGCCTCTCAATTTTCTGTTAGCTAAGCTGAAGATACCAGGCTCTTCTCAACTACTCAAAAAACAGGCACTCAAATTCTCTACTGGTCCTTTTCTGCAGTTTTTTCCAATTTAAATGAATCTTTCTTGAAAATAAGTGACCAGTTATGTACACAGTACTTTTAATGAGGACATATACATGCTCTATAAAATGCTCTTAGTATTTCTATCACTTGCTAAAAATATCTGTATAGTGCACTGCAGAATCAGCTCAGGGTGGTTGCTCAAGGTTGACCCCACATGGGCCTCTTTTTACATTTTTTCCCAGCTGATGAGTCCTAGCTGAATCAAGGGAAGGGAAATCTCGATGGGTAAATACCTTTTTTGTGTGTGTTTTTGAACCATCATTCAATTTCTAGCACTCCAGTCATCATGGTAACTGCACTATTTGTCTTTGATGGAAGTCTTGAGGGTTGGCAATGCTTTGTAAAGTCACTGGTAACCTCTCTTCAACTTGGGAGCTTGTCTTTTAACTTAGCTCATTGTTTGTTTAGTAGGATCTACCCAAAGTTGCAGTTTATCTCCCTATTTGTGAGTTGTTTATTCTTTTCTCCAGAATATGTTCTAAAATATCTCAAACAAAGACCTAAAATTTCTCAGATTGCTTTCTTTTCCTTAGAAATGTACTCCTGTTTTCCACTCATGGGAAACAACTGAATATATAGTCTATTTTTAAAGTCTTTTCTGAACCATTTGCAATTCCACATCCAAGTTCTTTTCACATTCTAGGGTAGGGATCATGCAGGCTCCAAGTTATTATTTGTCTTTTTCAAGTAGTTTAGACATTGTTTATGTCTCTTCTGTTGTAACACCTCCTGCTCTTTCCGCCTTTCCATTAGGAACCTCACCATTATCCTTTGCTATATCACCAGATTATTTCTTTCCCATTAGTACCAGCAAATAATGAAGATGAAGCAAAAAAAAAAATAATTTCACAGTGTTCTGCAGCACCATTCTCTCTTCCTTTTTCTGTTGTTTATATGGCTAAAATATTTTCCTTTTCTGTGGAAGTCATATCAACCAGGCAGTCGGCAGCTTCTTATTTCTGTGCCTTTTTATTTCTGAACCATAATTCACCTGTCTAAGGAATCACTTTTTACCCTCTTTGTGACTTTCCAATCTTTGTCCTGGCTGTTACATCTTTCTTTATAGTATTTCTTCTTCCAGAACATCTGTAGTGTGTCCACCATACTTCTCCTTCCTGCTGGGACCGCCACTTCCTGAGGATCTTCACGCCTCTGACTTTGAGTACTCCCATCCTCTTTACATATGAATCTTTCATAAGTGAATTGACTTCATGGAGGAGTACAGACTTTCCCTTTTCAACCCCCTACACACCTTATCAGCCATCTCGAGCAACATAACCTACTACATCAACTCATGATCTTTCAGCCCTGGGTGATTTTGTATCACCAGCTCACTGCAGGGACTTTGCTGCTGGTGCTATTTGGAGTAGCCTTACCCTTCATTGCTTTACAAGCTATTCAGGTAAACAAACAGTTTTCTTGGGACTAGCACACACCTATTAGCTCAGGAACAGTACTTTTATCCAACCTTTTTCTTTCAGCAGAATGAGATAAAAGAAATAAGAGGCCAAAGACCGAGGGCTGCCAGTGTTTATACAAATGGAGATCTTGAGTAAAAAACAGTGACCAGAAATTTAGCAGCTGAGCTTCACTGACTGACAGATTTGCTCCTGAGCCCTTGCAAACCTGATGTGACATTGCAATCTTGCCGTGCCTGTCTGAGTGTTTGCCTAAACAAAAGGACTTTACCCTATGGTCCTTAGGTAGGTACCTGGAGTGTAACATATTTGCACAGAAAAGGATAGTTAGCCAAAATACTGGGATTGCCTTTTCATCCAGCCTGAAATGTGTGAGCTCCCTGCACCTGCAGAGACTCTTGAGGAAAGGCAAAATTAAAGGGATAATTTAAAATTTGCTGATTGTATGATTTCATAGAGTCAGTTCAGACTAGAATAGAAATCAGTCACTATTACTGCTAGAAACATTTTTTAGAAATCGGTTTGAAATTAATACAAAAGACTGGTTTGGTACAACAAAACAGAGGCATGAGATAACTTTCTTTCATTATTAAATGATAGCAGCTGTCTCCCATCAGGACAGAGAACACAGAGTGAGAAAGATTAGCTGTAGCCTGTTATTGATCACAGCATTTACCACATTGTTTATCATTTTAACATGGCCAGGTAGAACAAATCAGCCTGGGGACAATTAACTCTACTCTAAGAAAATGTCAACATCACTATTTACACATGCCTTTTAAACACTGCAGCTATTTTACATATTCATTTTTTTCCAAGCAATTTGTTAACTGCATTTGACTAGTGATTTACCATATATATAATCCTTCTGGGATGATGCTCAAAAGCAGTTCAAGAAGAGAAGGCTGAATGTTCCAACTCAGTAATATAAAGTCTTTGATTTTCTTTCTAATAAGAACTGCATATCCTCTGTGCATAAAGTGCTGACTTCAAAATATCAGCATGCCCAGAAATTTAACCACTCACATGCAGTGCACTACAAATCTTCCCTACTTCCCCTTTATGAATCAGGTGTTTTCCCAGCAAAGTGGTCCACGTGCTGGGAGGTGGTTTTAATAGCATAATTCCCCCTCCACATCACATGGTGGGAGGGCTAATCTAAAAGACTAAAATTTAATCTAGCAGAATAATCAGCATTTAATGAATCCTCTCTAATCTAAATCTGCAAAACTAACAAATGTCCTACACTAAACATTTGAGACATCCTACAGCTATGTATTTATTGGCAAATATTTAGGTGTTATGAACATCAGCTACCTGTATTCTGTTATTTGTAACTGCTGACTCAATAAGCATTAATATCTACCCTTGAAGATACAACTAGTACAGCTGGGTGAAGAGGGAATGGCTTCAGTATTTTGGACAGCCTGTGGCAATGGCAAAAATAAGCCACTTGCTTGGGGCTTGTACTTAACTCCTGACCTGTTGACTATGGCTGGGTGTTCCTGAAATGCTATTTATTGGATTAGCAGATTAAAAAATGACGAAGTAAAATTGTGGGAATTTAATCAGTTCTACTGTATAACAGAGCCCATTAGAAATGCCTGGTTAATTATTCTTCGAAATATGGAATTAAAATGGTACTTTTAAATTGCTGTTACAAAACTTGCATAACTAACTACACATTTGGAAGCCCCACCAGCTTTTAATTTTGAGACCAGTTTTTATAACCTTCGTCTGATTTTGATACGTCTTTCTGCCTAGATTTAAAAAAAACATAAGAAATTTGGTGCTGAAATAAGTGTTAGCCTAACTATTGTTTAGTGTAACCATTTGCTTCTTGAAATAAGGTTAAAACTTATTTTTAATGGTAGTAAAGATGGAAACATGAGGTAAAGTAGATTTCAGTTAATTAAACAGGACACTTCATTAGGTTTTGTAATTTCTATCAGTAGTGATTTTTTAGCAAAAGATATTAGAAAAATTAAGTTTATTCAAAGAATAAGCATCACAGAAACGGTCACCATAAAGTTACTGTCATTGCCTTGGTGATGTACTTTTAAACTTTGAATAAGGAGGACAGCTACTATACGAGAAAAGAATAAAATATCCATGCTTTGTTGAGGCAGTGCTTCAGGTGCTATTACTGTCACTGGTATTTTTCTACATGTACATATATCCCTACATATGTATCTATCACACAACCAGCTGTTCAGGTGAGCCACTGTTGTGAGATAAAAACCACCTGAGGTGGCTGCAAATGTCCATGTGTTAGAGACAGCCCCTTATATCCCATCACTGCTGTTCCAAATTGTCTGCTGACTCAGGCTTGGGTTGTGGGTTTGGGGGCTTTTTTCCTGCTTGAATGATGATATAAGTTCTACATTTACCAACTTCCAGGCCAATTCCAGACTGCAGCTCTGGAGGCTTTCACTGTGGTTGAGTTACCTTACTTGGAGGAGAAGCTCAGCATGTTCCTAGTGCTTCCCAGCCACAGAAGAACACCTTTGTCCCAGATTGAGCTTCACCTTTCTGCTAAAACCATAACCCTCTGGGCCAACAGCTTAAAAAGAATCAAGATGGACATTTTTCTACCTAGGTAAGCAATATTAATATTCCACGTCGGCTTGACTACCTGAGTTGTCATAATTCTGTGTGATAAGATTGACATGTGCATTGTATAAGAAAAAATTGAATTAGGTAACTTCCAGTTTTGTCATTCATCACACAATCAGAAAAGCTCTAATTCTTTCTTAAGCCATGAAGAGGTCAGCTGGGAATAACAAATCTTTCCAAAATTCTCCAAAAACAAGTATTTCCATCAATCCTACAGCTTTTACTAAAAAGTTGTTTGGAGTATAACAATCCATTAAAGATCTAAAAAGAGACAAACATTCTGGGCCTTTTTCCACTCTCTGTTATCTTTGCTTAAGGAACAGTAAGAATATAAACTTTAAAAAAAACCCACAACAGTTTATTTTTACAGCTTGCTAGTATACTGCAAAAGCACACTACAAAGAACTTGGGGGCCCCCACCAGTCATATCCATCATACCCATCTTTCTGTGCACAAAGCAAGTTTCAGCCCTCTGTTTTCCATGTTAGTCACTTGCTGTTTCTAGCAAACTCACACATCCTGGCAGTATTTTCTATCAGCTAGATAGAAATGAAATTAACTCAAATGAAATTCCTGCCAGGACGAGTCAGGTGCAGGAGGAGGCTGTATCTATTTGGTGGCTGTACCTGTTGTATGGATCAGCACTGGAAGGCTTCATTACTCATCTCTTACAATGCTCATAGCAAAGCACTGGAAAACAATTTGTACAACAATATTCTCTTTCTCCAAGGTGATATTTTGAAAAGGTTTCAAAGAGCTCTTTGCTACATCCAAAAAGGCTGTTAAAGAGAGGAGTTTTGGGGAAATAGGGAGTTCAAGTGTCAAGAAGACTGAAATGCAGCCTGATTGCAACAGGTGGAGAAGAGGGATTCCTTCTGTTAACACTCTCAGGTGAAGATGAGTCCCTTTTCTGCAAAGTACACTTAATCAGATGAAAGATATTGGGCTCATACAGAAATGGATGAAATGCAAAGGCTTGAAATAAATTGCACCTGTTCCACCTTTTAGCTCTATGAAAATACTAACAGCACATTTAAATAAAATCTATCATATTAATTTCAGGTTCAGTATTCAAAGCCTTTTTGACCTAAAGACAGTTTTTTCTGCCTTGGGAATTAGAGATGCATTTGACCCCATCACTGCTAATTTTAAAGGTATTTCAGGTAAGAGGCTCAACTGAATAAATAATGATCACTGACCCAATCACATAGTCTCTTGTATTTGAATGATTCAGTAGACCTGAGGCTTCTGAATTGATTGTACTTCTTCATCTGTGAAACTCTAAAATACAATTCACACTCAACTATTCTGCTTTATTATTGGCAGTTGTATTTGGAGCTATTGTAGGAAAGAGGAATCTGAAAGGGACAGGATTGGGTTTGGTCTTGTTTTATATATTTTTTTCTTTTCTTCTCTCTCCTTTCTTTAAACCTAAAACTGTGAAGACACCATAGGTCTGGAAAATGGTTATTTATTCAGAAATTTAGGATACTTCAGTTAAAACTTGCATTCGTAATGGTGTTTTCAAGTAGTTATCTGACAGTTATGGATGCTGGTCCAACTGCAGACACCACAAACAATATTGGCACAAACAATATTGGGAAATACTTCTACTATGTTGTCTTACTAATCCAGTAACCAGTGGACTAAATTATATTTTTCCTTTGCTAAAATATTAGTGTCATGATTGTAAAGTGTCTTGGTTTTGGAAATTTTTTTAAATTATCCTGCTCCTTGGAGAATGTTTATCCCTATTTAAGTACTAAAACAATCCAAATTATCTTTTTTAAAATTTATTTTGTTTTACCACTTTCAGTAACACAAATAAATTCAATTTAGTAATTTCTGCCCCTAGCAAAGACTCAGAGTGGTAGCTGCTCTTAGAGATGCAGAGTGTTCATGCAGTTCTTGTGTGTGAGTAAATAAATGGAGGTATGACAAGAAGAAATTCCGTCAATTTAGACAAACTTGCTTTTAAAGAAAATTTGCTTTTCTGGACCAACCTCAGAAGGTATGTTACTTAGGGGGTTTTATACCTGTTTTACAATTGAACATTGCATTTTTTTAATCACAGTACATATGTCAGACTGCAGAGAGATGTACATTAAAAACAATTTTTTACTGACCACTTATTTGTTAAAGCCTGTTGCTCTGTCTATTGCAAACAAATGTTAATACAGTGATAAAGCACACAAGGATGCGTTTTACAAAGTTAATATCTACTTAAACAAGATAAATACTTTGAGGAAATTAACTCCATCATGAACAGTCTCATTTAGCAGCTTCTTTCCTATGCAACTTGACAGATTTCTGCTTAACATCATACAGGGTAAGGCTTGTAGAAGTATTTGATCCTGTCTGTGGTGGGATTATGGATTAAAAGATATGTTGAGGCTCTTTGCAGCTCTGCTCTTACACTACTCAGTTATGTATCACAATAGTACGGTTATAGCTATGATGGCCTAAGAGTTACACAAGGCACAGTTTATAAAAAAGGTTTAACTTTTATTTAACCAATAAACACAGTTGGAAAAAGAACAGGTAAGTTTTCAGTTCCTCTTCCATATGAAACAGAAGCTGCACTCTTTGGAATATTTACTCTCAGGCCACATTTAGCAAACATGTTACTTCATTTCAGACCTGGAAAAGCTTCTTTATGCCTAAAAGTTTCAACATTTTTCCCTCCAAAATAAATAAGATTTATCTAATGCTTAAAAATTCTGCCTCTCCTCCAACCTAGATGTTTGACTAGAGACAATTAATGTAGAAGATAAAATGCACTTTTAGTATTTACTGGTTTTTACTTTGTGTCAGGCTCAATCCTCATACTCAGACAAAAAAGAGAAGACCTCTCAACCTTCCCCATGTTCTGCTCTCTGCAGTCAGCAGAAGAGAAGAGAACTTGTAACACTCTCCCTGATATCCTTCTAAATTTTTTCCAAGCTCCGTTTTATATCACAGTCCCATCACTTCTTCCAGGTTTGGGTTTTTTTTGCAATTTCTCTTCCAACAGTTCCTAGTCTAGTATTCACTCAGTCCCCACTATCTTAATTAGTTTATACTCTTACCATGTCACCTTACTTTCCACCAAAGCCTGGGAGACCTCTTGAACTAGTAATTCATAGTGGGAAAACAGTCATAAAGACAAAAGGACAGGTAAACATGGGTAGAAATGAGGGAAAAGAGGATATTCACAATGATTTAAGGCTCCCTGAAAAATCCCTCTGTAGTCAGAGGCAGTCAAATGTGTGCATTCCTTCTCATGCTGGTAAGGGACCTGCCTCCCTCTGTCTGCAATACAGAGATCTGAGATACACTGTCTTCCCTAGACTAAAGTAGCCAGATGTCACCTCTCTTGTGTGTTATCTCACTCTCAAGACGTTCCTATATTGTGCCAAAGTGGTGCTCTTCTGTAGCTTGAGCCCGACTCCCATCACTGGACATAAGTGGAAATGGACCAGACTGCACCTGGCTCCATCAGCAGAAACATTAAGACACCTCACAGCTCTTCCAGGTTTACACCAACAGAAACATAGTCCAGCTCTTGTCAATCCCCCTCGCCCTGACTAGAAAGCAGATCTGAACGAAGAGCCAACAATAGCAGAAATTCCTTTAAGCAGAAAAACATTCCAACTTCCTGATACTTTTCTAAGAACTTCACTGCTCGACTGGAAGTGGGATCCACCTTTCACACAGAAGTCAGAGGCACCTGACACTGGACACGTTCAGGCAGACAGATGCAAAACACACATGAGTGTTTTTGCTTATTCTCCAAATTCCTTGCACATAAGGTCACTCTGGTCGAAAAGCAGTGTAGTCGTGCTATCTCAGCTACGTGCAGAGTAAAAAGTCCTTAATACCAAGCCAGCTTAGATGTTCAGACTGTCTATGCTCATCCATATTAGGCACACGTGTGAAAAATCAGGAGCTGAGTCAAAATTAGAACTGAGGATCCTCTAATGTGGAAGCCAGAAGCAGAAAAAAGCAACTGAAAGGCAGGTTTACACTGTGCTGTCTTTCTGAACAGGCTGTAGTGAAGGAACCAATGGAAGGAATTTGCAACAGAAGAAAAGTTAATGTGACATGTACTGCATTCAGTATGCTGCCACTGAATTAGTTGCCCAGGAGAAATACCTAACAGTTAGGTCATCCTTAGATCCTGCAGAAAAAAAAAGTAGAAGTATTCTTAATTCCAATTAAGGAGAGGGGAGAGGGGAAAAAAAAAAAAAAAAAGTGTTCACAATGGAATTCAGAAAATAACTGTTAATATTAATTTCTGGGTTGTGGGTTTTTTTGCAGAGCAAGGTAGTCTTTATATTTCAGAAGCTATTCACAGAGCAGAGATTGAAGTAACAGAAGATGGTACAAAGGCATCAGGAGCTACAGGTAAATCAAATATATAAAAATTTACTCTTCACTTCTGAGGATTATCTTTCTTTTAAAAGAACCACACACACAAAAAAAACCCAAACAAACTGAAAAAAAATGAAACGTGGTAGCATTTAAATGCATGCCTAACCTAAATTTAAACTTTTATGCATAACAGGCTTCCATTGTACTTTTGTTCATAAGAACTCTTAAACTCTTCCCTTTCTATGTTTGATCTTAGACTAACATATAAAGAGTCCAATGAAAACCAGCCTTACCTCCCAGGGAAAGTCCAGTTCAAGGAAATACAGCACTTCTTTTCTTTCTGTTGGTCAAATCTCTCTCCTAAGATTGTACAAGCAAAGAATTAAAAGAGGTTGCTAATGTTTTGTCCATAGCTCCTGAATCTCTATGGGGTATGTGTCTGAAGATGGCCTCTTCGGTAGCATTAAAGGTCATGACAGGGAAGTTTTGTCTTCATAAAAACAAAGACAGGCTTGTTTCTTATGTACTTGGAGATGTGAACTTCGTGCTCAGTCATTTCTTCTAGCAGATCATTTCCATGTGAACATTCAACCCATGGTGATGATGCTAAAAGGAACCCAAGCACACCTGATCTGGTGTAGCATTCCCTTGGCAGCGACTCTGAATATGGCACATCTTCTACATATGTGGGTGTATAGTGAAAGTTTGGACATAACCAAGTTAACCTTGCTGCACAGCTGTACAGTTTTACATTTTATGACAATTTGCATCTCTGCCAGGGCACAAATATTTTTCTGGCAGTTTCCATAAAAAATAAAAGCTTTTAGATGGCTTCAATTACATACCAAAGACTAAGGGTACTGGGAATCAGACACCAGAGCTTTATCCCATTGAAAGAAATGCCATAACCTCCCTTAACTTCAGTCGGACCAAGCTAAGAAGCTGATTTTAAAAAGGTATAATTATGTTTATTGCTTACTTTAAAAGCTCTGGATTTAGTCACTTGAAAGCTAAAGTAGGCAGGTTTTGTTAGGAGCACTGAAATAGTACCACTCAAACTAGTTTTACTGAGTCTTACTTGAATTTTCTATTGCATTCTATTGTTTTAACTGCTCATTTAAAAAAAAATAATAAATCCAAATCTGGGGTTTTTTTAGTATCGGGCTGGGTTTGTTTTGTTTTGCTTTGTTTTTTTACAATTTATTGTAAATACCATATAGCTAAAAAGAAAAAAAAATTGAAATAAGACATATTTGAATAATTGCTGAACCATCATAATTCTTCTTCATTTAATCTAATAATTAACCCACAGCCAGAGATGAGGACAGTCATAAATTGAGATTAAGGCTATTTACGTTTTGTTGAGAGCCTGGACAGAGAAATACCAGGATAATGCAGATATGTCTCTGCTCTTTGTCTCCCATCTAGAAAAGGGGCTACAATTCTGCCTTTCTTATCTTTTTTCTGTGAGCAGCACAGCTAGGAATGGGCTAACGAGTCAGGCAATAGCACGGTATGACTTGAGCAGACTGAAGGCTGTGACAACAACAACAGATGTATTACCTTTAAAATCCAAAGGCAGAGCGACTCTTCAGCAGCAAAGTACCCACGTATCATCTGCATCTGGTCTCACGACACTTGTTCATTCACCTAGACCCATCTTGGATAAAACCGTCATTTTTATTCCTAAAGCAAAGGAGCAACTCAGAACTTACAGTACCAGGCACCGGGGCTAGAGGGCACTGTATAAAAGACGAAAAGAAAATGGACACGTTTTACTAATGTTTTCTTCATTGCATTACAGCAATGGTGTTACTAAAGAGATCCCGAACACCAACCTTCAAAGCAGACAGACCATTCACGTTTTTCCTGAGACAAGCTAACACAGGTAGGCACGCTCTCTGCTTCAGTAGCAGAACCTTTCACAAGTAACACTGAAACCAGTAAGTTTTTTGTAAAAAACATATCATTTCTTCAATGCACGAGATTCAAATAACCATAAAAACAGTGGATACAGCTTAATTTCTTTAAAAAGAATACGTGATAGTCACAGAAGTCAGGGAAGGCAAATTAGCATCTTTTACCTACTTGCAATGTATAAGCAAAAACATTTTTAGCATATAGGCACTAAAAATATTTTATAGATCTTAAATGCCCAAGGAATAGGTCTCGACCTCCACTGGGCAATTCAAATTACAATTGGACTGGATCAGTTGGACTAATAGTTGAAGAAGTCAAATATATAAATCATACTAACGCAGACAGCTCATAGCAAAGACTTCTGCCTGTAGGCACCAGGTCTCCGTGGCCTGAAATTCCCTATATTAATTCCGACCTCAGCAGCTTCTCAGGGGATATCTCAGAAATCTTGTGAAACCCCATCTGGACTGTGTCAGGTTCTGGGGCCCCCAACATGAGAAGGTCATGGAGCTGTTAGAGTAAGTCCAGAGGGCCATAAAGATGATCCAAGGACTGGAGTAGCTCTCCTATGAAGACAGGCTGAGGGATTTGGGCTTGTTCAGCCTGGAGAAGGCTCCAGGGAGACCTTATAGTGGCCTTCCAGTACATGAAGGGGCTACAGGAAAGATGGGGAGAGACTTTTTACAAGGACTTGCAGATAGAGGACAAGGGCTGATGGCTTTAAACTGCAAGAGGGTATATTTAGATTATGTTAGGAAAGTATTCTTCACTATGAGGGTGGTGAGATACTGGCAGAGGTTGCCCAGGGAAGTTATGGATGCCCCATCCCTGGAAGTGTTCAAGGCCAGGCTGGATGGGGTTTGGAGCAACTTGGTCTAGTGGGAGGTGTCCCTGTCCACACAGGGGGGTTGGAACTAGATGATCTTTAAGGTCCCTTCCAACACAAACCATTCCACAATTTCTATGAAATTTGGAAGACCAACATTCTTTTGCCCAGGTACAGCTCAGAATTTCCAGAAGCAAGTTTCTCTTCCCTCCTGTCTTGAATAGTAGCACATTTGAGGGGAGAGTTTTACACACCTGGACTCTTCACTAAGTACCCCCACAAGACTCTCAGGTTATCAAAAGCCATGGATATTCACTGTATGTAATCAGGGAAATTAGCTCTGCAAAAAGCCTACCTTGTATTTTCACTGTTGCAAGGTGCTGCCAAAAAAAATTGATTATTTCTTTTGCAACTAATAACTCTCTCTCACTAATGAATTCCCCCAGTCCCCCAAACAAACAAAGTTGCAGAGCATGTCTGGAAGACTGAACCATCCCCAGTGTTCCTTTGGCTTCAGTATCACACTGTATGTCTCATTTCAGATGTTCAGTCACGTAAGTTGCTCCAGAATCTCTGCCAAAGGAAAGAACCATATAGCTCATTGGCAACAATAAAGAAGAATTACATTATACAACACTTAGCAGGTGTTTGCTCCTCTGAAGCATCACCACATCTCCAACAACTCTTACCATTCTTAGCAACACAGGAAATTTGCAAGTTAAGAATTTCCTAAAAATCCTTCAAACCACCAATTTTCTCTCATAACTGGAGTCATGTCCATTAGATTTCCAGGGAACATATAGTAATTTATAGGGTTCAGTAAAACACTGAGGTTTGGAAAGAACACCACAGATCTCCTAGTTCTGTGCTTAATGGATGTATTTAAACTGTACTACACTTTGAAAATATGTTCCCAAACTGAAATAATGTTAATATTGTTTCCCTTTACAGGTTCAGTACTCTTTATAGGAAGAGTCACAGATCCTTCATAATAAACACCAGACAATACACTGTCTTCTCCTCCTAGAATGAGCTTTCTCTAAATGAAATTAAAGTCTACATTATATATATTTATTTTAAAAATGTTTTAAACAGTATAACTTCCACAAGAGTAAAAGTAACCAAGTCCTACAATTACTTTATTACTTTGTGCACACTACTGGTGACTTAAGAGGTCTCTAGGAATCATCAACAGCATGAGCACAGGAAAGATAGTAAGCATATAATCATTTGAAGAAAAACTGAACAGATTTTTCCACCTAAATACTTCAGAATATGGGCCAACAGCCTCTGCTTAGCTTCATCATGGCTAAAGTCAGCTTGAATGTTGCTGAATATGCAGGTCACATGAAAGAAAGCATCCCACAAGGAAACTTTGTGATATCTTAGTCTTCAAGCATAACTTTATTTCCCTCTCCCAAAGTCAAAAATAAAAGTTGTCTGGTCTGAGATAGTAAGGTAACAAGTAGCAGAATGCTGTGAAAAGGAAATGAAATTGAGAGGCTGTTTCAAAACTCCCAGAAGAGATGGGAAGCAGAATTACCCACTCAATGAACAAACAAATATTATTTAAAAAAAAAAAAAAAAAGTAGTTGTAATACCTTTACTGCCTTTTATGTTTTATAAAATGAACACAGCATAGGATGGACATTCCTCATTCCTGAAGAACACTGAATGAGGCTAAAAGCATCTACAAAAATGCTTTTTTTCAGCATACTGACAAAATTTGGGACACATGATTGTTTCAGTACAAGATTCAACTCGTGGGACAAGAATCAGAAACCAAGGCCCACAAAAATTTTGGGCGAAGATTGCAAAGCACTAATGTCTAATAAAAGTATTAGAGGGAAGCTGCTCTCTCTGAAGCAAGTAAAGCTTTTCAGAAGTTAGGAGCATCTTGCTCAGCTGAAAGACAGGGCCAATAAACCATTCTGTGATAGCTTGTGTCCAAGAAGCAGCACTTGTTCCTACATTTGTAAACATGTAAAACTTCTGACATGGAAAAACTCTGTGCAACCTTCCTCAAATTGACCCCTGGCTTACTACATTGTATCCCGATAAAACTGTGGGTTTTGGCACTGCTGCAGATGTGCATTCGTAGTCACCCAGTAGGGAAGTGTCAAATACAAAGAGCCACAGGGAACCATCCTACTGTAGCTGCAGTTCAGTATTAACTTCCCTTCACTTGTTCTCTGATTAAGAACAGAAAATCCAGCAATACAAAACTGCTCTTCATTCCTTAACACTGACACTAGAACAGAGATGCTCTGCAAAGGGAAGGCAAAATGAACCATTCCAATAAAAACTGTACTCAATCCTACACAAAGATTAAAATAGAGTTTTTATTGATGGAATAACAAAAGTGCTTTTCTTAAATATTTTTCAAAATACATTTATACAACTTACAATAATATATCCAAAATAACTGTATATACAAAACATTACCTTGTTTAATGTATGTGCTTTTTTTTTTTTTAAATTACAAAGCAACTTTTTGGCAAAGTTCAACCTTGAGAGGTGATAATTTTGAAGGTTGGATTAAGAAAAATAGGACCTGAGGGAAAATGACACTTGAGTCCATGACAAGCAAGAAGTTCTCCATTTAGTTAAATAAAAATGTTTTTCTGATATTTTTCACATTACAAAAATAACAGAACTGAAGAAAAAAAATCATGATGGGTACTTTTCTCATCATTTTATAGAGCAGCTTCTCATTCTTTCAGGTATAGGAACTTGAGATAAGAGTGCATGTCAAAAATGAATGCAAGTTAAGGACAGCAGTGCCCTGCTGTGGCTTTTGTCTTGTGTGCAGTGTCTCTTAGCTGCTGTTGATATGGTTGACCTGATTGGATCTGCGATGGATTTCTTCCAGAAAACTCTCAAGCTGTTCTATCAGCATTCGTTTTTTAAACCTGTATTTAAAAGAAAGCATAGTAATGGATGTACACAGTAATACAGGAAACTGGTCACAAAACTTTTGCTGAACCCTGAAAACATCAGTTATTTATTTTAGGTCAAGTGCATTATGAGGTTATATATACCTCACAGGTATATATACTGTCTCCTAAAGTTCTAGTGAACCACTAACTTCTTTTCCATTTAATGAGAGAAATAGAACTATGCTTACTACAGTCCATTACAGCAAATGGCTGAACATCATTCACCTCTCAGAAAGCCAGGTAAAAGAGTTAAGTGTTCGCTGTTTCCGGAAGTTCTTACATACAAAAATAAAGCATATACCAAAAGAACTGGCAACAGCTTTTAGGCATTGTATGTCTCCATGGTGCACTCATAAAAGTGAAGTGAATACTGGTGAAGGAATAGCCACTACACAGTGCAGAGGAAATTTTTTGAGAAGCAAACAGAAATTAAAAAGTTTGAGAAAGAAATTAAAGAAAACACAGATGTAATCCATACCCGGAATCTCTGTAGTTCTATTTCATATTCATTACATAAATTTGAAGAGCAGATTATTTCGTCACATTTACTTACCCCTCTGCCTCAGCACACACAGGTCTTTGCTGTTTCCAACTAGCCCTCCCCCTTGAGATATTTCTACACCTGGGAAACCCTTCTGATCCTTGCTTTGGTAGCCATGCACATACTCAAAGATAAGCAGGAAAGATTACACACTTTCTCAGCTCAGTACTATTCTGAACTATCCACCAAGTTCATTCCTATGAACTTACGAGATCCCAACAGAAGCCTCTAGTCCCAGCTAGGCCTCCCAGCCCATGTTCTTGGCTCACTGATACACAGCATGTGCCCTAACTCCCAGATCACAGAGTTCCCCACAATTCCATCCTGACTACAGGGAAAAAAGCTCCCATTCCCAGCCACTTACTATCTCATTGAATATCCATGGCTCTGGGCCCTCACCCATCCTTCTCATCACAGGTCTCCTCAGTAACCCTACAGAGAGCCCGTACTTCAAGTACTGCTTCCCCTCCTTTCTTCACAAATCCCTGTTTGTTGACAAGTACTAATCTAGGAAACAGATAATTATTCCTTCTCATTGCCTCTAGTAAATGTCAAATTATTTAAGCTAATGCCAAAGTGCTTTACTATAATATAGCCCTAGCAAAAAATTAACATGCTTATGTTCTGTGCAAGTGACTGGGTAATGTTACTTTCTCCAGGACACCTTCAAGCCCCCTGAACCAGCTGTACCACTCCTAGAAACCTAGAACCTGGTGGAAGCTGGGCGGAAAAAACACAGTGCGAAGGATTCTCACATTAATGCTGGCACAGGAAGTCAGGCTTACAGTGTACTATGTCAAGCTCTTCAGTACATCTCACTCAAAGTTCTTTTCCAGATGCTGAAACTTATAGCAAATGTTTCTTTTCAAGACAACATAAATTATTTACCACATTAACTACTATTGCAATTAACAGAATTAAGCATTGACTCTAATTCACACAATCACAGAATTGTTCTAGTTGGAAAAACCTTTAAGATCACTGAGTCCAACCATTAACCTAGCTCTACCAAGTCCTGGTAGAGGGAAAGACTGTGGATGTTGTTTCCCTCATCCACTAAGTGGGTCACCTTGTCATAGAAGCAGATCAGGTTCACCAAGTAGGATCTGCCTTTCATGAACCCATGCTGACAGGGCGTGATCACCCTGTTCTCCTGCATGTGCTACATAATGGCACTCAAGATGATCTGCTCCATGACCTTCCCTGGCACTCAGATCCAAATAACAGGTCTGTTAGTTTCCTGGATCTTCTTTCCACCCATTCTTGTAGATGGGGGTCACATTTGCCACTCTCCAGTCAACTGGGTTCCTCCTGGTTAGCCAGGACTGCTGCTGGTAAAGGACAGAAAGTGGCTTGGTGAGCACTGCAGCCAGCTTCAGGACCCTTGGGTGCACCCAACCTGACCCCATAGACTTGTGTGTGTCTAAGTGGTGTAGCATGTTGCTAACCATCTCCTCTTGGGTCATGGGGCTTCAAACTGCTTCCCATTTGTCTTCCAGCTCAGGGGACTGGGTACTCAGCACATAACTGGCCCTACTACTAAAGACTGAGGCAAAGAAGGCATTAGGTATTTCAGCCTTCTCCTCATCCTTGGCTGCTATGCTTCCCAGTTGCACCCAATGAAGGATAGAGGTTCTCCTTCATCCTCCTTTTGTTGCTAATATATTTGTAGAAGCATTTTCTGTTATCTTTGACAGCTGCAGCCAGATTGATTTTGAGTTGGGTTTCAACTGTTCACTCTGCTAGGAAAATCAGTACCATTAATAATAACCACAGAATCACAGAATATTAGGGGTTGGAAGGGTCCTCCGAAGATCACCAAGTCCAATTCCCAATAAAATTTCTTTGAGTAGACCTAGGTAGTAAGCATAAAGCTTCACCTTTATTTTGAAATTGGTTGTATTCATTCTCACCAACACTCTTATCATAGATGGGTATTGCTCAGCATTTTATCTAGGTCCACACTTTGGGCTTTGCTGTGTGTATTAATAGCTAAAGTTGTTAGTTTGGAGAATAAATAAAAGGGAATTTAATTTCTCACACTAAGAAGTTGGTTGATTTGGAGAATTCTGGTCCATGTTTTGTCAGCTTTTGCTGTACACTCTTGAGCAGAGAATAAAAACAAATTTATTCTTAGTGCTATGACCATTAATGGATTGCTACACCACCTCTAGAAATACTTAAGACGTCTCCACTACACAGGAAAGGGCTAAAAGAAATTAGCCTAAATAACTCACTTTGTGTATCCAAAGTTACAGACATCTATTGGGAATTCACGTCTCTTGTGTTCCAAGAACTCCTTGGAACTCCACTAATACTACCCACCCAGGCTTAACCAAATGTGCATCACTAAGCATAAGAAGACATAAGTCAGAATAGAAATAGCCCAGAATTTAAGATTGAGATGTTGTATTGCCTAATCCTTAATATTTTTACCATCAACTGGGAGAAAAGAATCCATTATCTACCCCACATCGATTTCTGCATGTCAAAAGTGATACGTTTTCTGTTA